CACATGACGTTTATGTAGGAAATTTGACATGATATGATACGACATGACGTGACGTTATGCGACCCGTCATAATTTAAAGCTGTCTGAAATTTTCCGCTGCTGGTTTTAGGCGTGTTTTCGACTCCTTTTTCCCTCGCAAATTACGCTACTAATGTCATTAGCTAACGAGAAGCTAGACTTTGCAAGACGATGTTTCTCTTTGCCGTCTAACTTCTCAAGTTCTTTGAGAGGAACGCAAACGTTTGCAGTCGTTGAAAAACTGTTTGTTGTAATTTTCTTGTTAAGACGGGTTAATTTATGTTGCGAGAAGAATTAATTTATCGTGCAAAATGACGAAACCCGACGAGCAAAGTTAATTTAATATGGCAATTAAAAGTATTAAATAATTGGAATTGGTACATATTACTCTGCTGAATTATAAATATTCCGAAACTTTTATTTTTCGTAATTACGTAATTTGGGAATTATTTATTTATTTATATAATGTCATTTCTCATTTCGCTATATTTTATCAGCGAAAATTAATCTAAATAACAATCTTCTCGTTATCGAGTCTCGCCATAGTAACGTTAATTAAAAAATGCTTACACATTTTCATTTTCTTCTGAATTTTTTCTCTGATAATTCGTTGTAATAGTTTATTTATACGGCAATAGTTTTGTGTCAATTTCGTCTTTGCTTCGGCTTCGTTCGTCCGTTTCCGTTTAGTAAAAATTGTGCCATTAACATTTGACGAGTTTCGTCGCAGGTAAATATTTTCTTTTTCCGCTTTTGCTGATATATATCTACTTAGAAAACTTACGAATTTTTGATCGAGTTCAGTTTCGATATTACTAACTTTTTCCTGCTCGCAACGAAGCCGTGTTTACCTCGAATGACGCTCGCTCGCCTATGGGCATAATCGAAGCGGAAACTCTCTTATGGCGTCTAGCTTCGAGGATAACATTCGTACGGTGTGACATGGGCATAATCTCGTGTGCTAACCTCAACGTTTAATTTACTGCACGCGAGATATCTCGTGAGCCCTGCGTTACTGTGTTGAAATTACGATTTAACATAAAGGAAGATAACTTCATAAAAGCCACGTAAGAAAGGAAAGAACTGAAATTTGTTTTCCTGTGCCACCTGTTTTAAATTTATGAAGGAACAGATGGAATTAAATCGTCCTAGACAGAATCTATGTTAGAGATTCATCAAAACGTGTTTCTTTTGCCCACTTGAGCACATTTAATTAAATGTTTAAATGTCGTCGACGAAAATATTTTAAATCGTATTTCTATCGTAATTATTAATTACGATTGGTGAAAAGAGGTGATAATTAAATTACTGAATGAATGGAATTAAGACATTACCTGAAATAGTACGGTTGAAGAAGAAATAAATTTAAATTTGATAAAGTAAGATGCTGTTTTTTATTCATTCGTGAATGAGCAAATTGAATTGCACTAGAAGTAGAGCAAATCCTTTACACATTTTATCTTGTTACATATTCGAGTAAATTTAAGTTCCTTCACATTGAAAAATGTTTTCCATGATTCGATATTCGCGATATTTTTATATGACCTGTTTCATGAACCATATGGAAGAACTTAACTAGGCAAAATCATTAAGAAATTATACAAAATACCAATGGAATAGAGGAGGATTTTATAATTCTATAAAAATATGAATTTTTGAAATGGTTAATAATGAAAAATCGTGAGGTAGGTTTATTGACAAGGGATAATCTCACTGATTAAGATCTTCGTTTCTTTGATCCTCGGATGTTTCTAATTAGTACAGTATCTTCAAATTTGCTCAAACGGGATTACACAGGGTTTAAACGCTTTCCGGGGCTAAATAACGTTTAAACAGCCAGCCCCGTGACTGTATACGCACGTATGTTTGTTCAATTAATCCGAATCTCGACAGCTAAATTACTTTCCGAAACAGGGGAAAGAAGCATCGCGATAATTAACAAGTTACAGAAACGAAAGGCACGAAGGCCGAAGGAACTTCGCCTATTATTCGTTAACACGTTACGTATTTAGTGTAATAAATTTTTCGCGTTTCACCTGGCACGTAACGAAGAAGTTTCCTTCGCCAGGCGAAACGAAAATCGTTAATAACGCGGTAAAAGAAAAGGGTAGAAGGGGAAACGGAGAAAGGGTTAAATGGCGAGGAACACGAAACTCTTATTTTATGTTTCTTGTGATCGTTGTTAACGAAATTCATACTCGTATTCAATCGACCAACTGTGGGATTTTAGCAACATCGATCTCACGCCTTTTCGAATATTACTGGTCACGAGAATTGCTTCCCATTTCAGAATTGATATTTGTAATACCAATAATGGGTCGATCATATGGGTAATGAGAGAAATATAATTCGTTTGAGTGACATAGGGAGGTTTTAAATTAATTTATCAATGTACTTATTGTAAATTAATTTATCAATGTACGGTGCTCAAATGTCTTCATTAACGTCACTGACACTCAAAATATAATTGTTTGCATTCTTGTAATTTCACGTACTTAACAACAAGTGAGACAGAAGAAGAAGAAAATATTGGGAACTTCCGATTTTAATTTATAATTTTAATATATTACTCGTCACGAGAATTGCTTCTCATTTCAGAATTGATATTTTTAATAATAATAATGGGTCGATGGGAGGTTGTAAATTAATTTATCAATGTACAATGCTCAAATGTCCTCATTAACGTCACCGACACTCAAAATATAATTGTTTGCATTCTTGTAATTTCACGTATTTAACAACAAGTAAAACAGAAGAAGAAAATATTGGGAATTTTCAATTTTATTTTATAATTTTAATTTCCTACCAAACTATGCTGCTTGGTTAGTTTCTCAAACTAACACTATTGTGTTCTCTGTACTCTATATTGCACATTATTATGCAAAACAGGTTCACAAAATTTTGTTCGATATCCCGTACATTTGAAAGGATTTTAACTTTTCGGAAATCCTAGTCGGCGATAATTAACAATGGTGAAATTCCAAATTGACGTCGCTCGACGTTGATAAACGTTCCAGCTCTTTATCTCTGGAAATTACCTTAAGTTGCTGTTTCAGAAGTCGTAACATTTGTAAGTACGACTGTAGCCAACTAATTTCGCAACCTCGCGATACCGTTCGAAAACTATTAAGCCAGATATACCTTAGACCAACGTTCGTATCTTATCTTCGACCTATTTGTAGTACACCGTCAACTTTATTTTAAACGAATAAAATACTGTTTGCAGCTCTCTTAAAAGTAAATTAATTTCATTGATTCTACGATTTTTCTTTTTGTCGTTTAATGTTTGCCACATATCACTGAGTAACGTTTATTTATTTTAATATTTCAATGCGATTCGATGTTATTGACTGTTGCTCTCGAGTCGATGCTCCCATGAGTACCACAAGTTGCGCGAGATGAGCAAGAAAAGAGTAAACGAATTAACCCAAGCAATAGTATATTTCTTCCCTCGAATCGAACAAATAATCAATTAATCCTTCGCTTCGATTAATCATCAGAACTGATCGCTCGATTTCTCGATAAAACCAGTTTGGTTTAATCACTGCATTGTTATATTCTATCACTATGATAAAACTCGAGCTACTTTCTTCGGGATTCCCATAAAGTTACCTTATCGATATCAGCATATCGAATTTTTACGATTTTCAAGGTTCGTTGGGGTCGCGATAATTTTATATTGGCCACGCTAATTAAATTTCGCGAATTTTAATAACTCCCGGCAGTTCGATTACACAGTACTCCTGCTATTTCGCGATTAAGCTGGCTGTCTGACGTGCACGCGTTATTTAAACAATTTCCAAGTCGTTCAACCGATCAACCCTCAATTACTGGTCAATTCGAGAGGAGCATGTTCCTTTTAGAGCGTTTGAACCGACGCGAAAGTCTGAAGTTTCGATTTGAAACAATGGCCAAAGGTATGCAGGCATTTATTAAGACGAATTAATTGACTGCAATGAGAGTGGTTCGAAAAGGTCATGGTGCTCGAAGTTCATCGACAAAATTCAAGTGGGACCTAGTCTTTCTCCCTCTCTCTTCGTCTCGATCTTCCTCGCCCACCCTTGCACCCTCGATTCGATATTATCGAGTAGCTACAGAGCCGTGTAATTAACGGAAGTTACGATAACGAGAGGATTTCGCAAACTGATAAGCAGAAAAGTTGCGCAGTTATGAAATTGCTGTGCAATTACGACCACTGAATGAGCCATTACAAAAATAAATTTGTTCGAATAGCCGGCGTGCAAATTCTCCTGTAGCCCTGACATGTCTCCCGATTAAAAGCGTTAACTTAAAATATTGGCGAATATCGGTCTTTATCCGGCCACGCGTGAGGATATTTCGACTGGAAGAGGAATTTTTATTCATATTTTATTCGCTTTTAAAAGCCTGGAATATTTACGATTGCTATGAAATATATGAAACTCCTATATAATTTCGTTTCAATCTACCCGTGACGGAATTTTTAACGACTTTGGTACTCTCTGTGTTGTTGACGGTTAATATGTTATTAATTTTCCTAAGCTTGTGAAATTTTTAACGAATATTATCGAATTTTATTTTGTTTTATGTGGAACACAGGATGCTTGATAAATTTGTTTTCCCTATAATGGTCCATGACACATGATCCTCGTGATAAATGTTGAAAATTAGAGGATGAATATGAACATCGTATAATCGACATTGGAAAGTAATTTTTAAATACTAGCGTTGACTATAGCCGTCAGCTAATATAGCTTCTGATAAAGTAGACAAATATAAATTAAATTAAATTGAATTCTCTTTTTATGTTTATTCCAGTTTTATATATCGTGCTAGTTTTTGCTATCCGATTTATGAAAATAACACAGGCTACGTATAATGGATGTGATGGCTATAACAGGTATTATACGTAATATTATGGTATTATACCATAATAGTGCCTATAACAGTGGATGCCTGTTTCAAAATATTAAATTTCATGTAGTAAAATTGAATGAACTTACTGTACACTTTTATTATTCCGTCCGTTTCACCCAATGAATTCTTCGCCATACATCGGTACGATCCAAAATCCTGCGGTCTGACGGATTTTATCGTAAGCTTCATAATTATCTCATACCCCTTTGGAACTGCTTCCACCTTGTAGTTTTCTGCAAGCAAAAGTATACAATCTGCCCACGGAATCCTTTTTCACTAACTTCCTATACACAAATCGAAAATCATCAATTGCTTTTTAATCGAACTGAAATTTATCACTCGTAAATTCATACTTAATTGAAACATAAATAAATCCTAAAAATATCATAACACAGTAATTCTGTATTACATTCTGCCATCTTTCTCGCAAAGTTTAAACAGAAAAATATATACAGATATCCCCCGTATAACGCGGACGTTAAAAAGAAAATACTTTTATTCATTTTCGTCACATTTATTTCGCGATTTATTATTTAATATCGTATGAAACCATAGATCGCGTTAGGTCAAAACTGGGTACAATTTATCAATCGCGTGATACAAGTACCACGTTGTACGAGGGTCATATGTTCACGAGGTGATAAAAATCCTTAGAATCCCACAGAGCAAGGGCCCAGCTGAGAATCACTGGGCTAGTCTAATAACGCGAGTCCGAAGAAAAACGTATTCTCACGGACAATCGTTCTTCGTAATTGAAAATCCCGTTCAATCTCGGCCCAGTTGTTCGCGCGATGCCGAAGAATGCAATGAAGAAGTGCGATAAGACTCATCGTCCGCGAGTTACGCCATTAATCCAGCGGTCGTGTAATTGCTCTCGTCGCCTGTTCAAAAGCTAATTCGTATTATTACCACGGAAATACCAGCGACGAAAGTGTGACATCTACTTCGAATAACGGTGAATTCCGTTAGTTAGCAAATTGACTATTTTTCACGCTGGATCACTGAAACGTTACGAAATGACGCGAGCTGGGTCGCGCCGGGTTATTTACACGGCGGCCATTTTCTCTACGACGCGAATGACGTCCATGTTGGATGTCCACGATGTTTGTTCGACGCTGTAACGCTCGACAATGTGAGCACGCCACGCATTTGCTCTGGACTTATCAACATATGTCCCTCGTTTCGTATTCAAATAGCGCAATAATTTTTCTATGGCTCTGCGTTCCACTCTGAATATTTGAACACATCGGGTGTCGCCTCTCCTCGCAGTCTAATATTTTGCTTATATAGACAGGATGAGTGTAGTTAATGCAAATGAAATTTTGTGCTCCACGGAAATATGTGACGTGGTTGGAATGAAATGGAGAATTTAAATGCAATAATATTTTATTTTAATTCATTGCTACCATTGATTTGTAATGTGTATCAAAACATACCGTTCACAGACGATTACAATTACGGTATAGCGAATGCGAATAATTGTAATATACTCGTGTCAATGTTAATTTTGGCATGTTTCTGGAAGTTGGAAAAATAAAATAGTTGGATTTTGCTATTTTGATAAGTTTCTTCGTTTTAGTGTTATATATGATGCTGGCAAAAATTGTTCTTTGCGAGAGTATTCGATTATTACTTCTGACTTAAAAATCAATATATTCATATGTGAGGTATTTTATAGACAAATCTTTCAGTATGGACGAAACCAATATATTGGTCTTCCGACTGGCAAGGAAACAAAGAATATATAAATTACACAATTCCTAAAATTTGTATGCGAATTACTTTTTTTACCATACAATCACGTTTCCAAAGTCTCAGTTGTCTAGAATTCCCAGATTGATTATTAGAAATTTTCTTTTTCAAGTAACGTCTCCCTTTACCTTTTGCATCGTATATTTTGAAACATGAAACTCGAAATTAATAATTTTATTAAATTATTCGTTTAATTCGTGTGTCTTGATATCGTATACTTCAAAAATGGAATTCTTAATCCAGTCATTATGAGTATCTTGCAAACGTGCAAGACTCTTTTCCTTAAGCGAGGAAAACGACCATCGAACAGGAAGATCTTCCCCGGTTTCGTGTCGCTTTTTAACGCTATCCCGTTTTCTTGTCGTCTGTTCCGTTCCGTTCAATCCTTAAGTTTAACGAGTTTCTGTCACGACACGAGGCAAGCTTTTTCTCGCCCTCGGAACCCCGTCGACGTATCAATTAATCCGGAAATAAATGTTTTCGTGATGCTCGCTGTGCAATTAAAGATCCTCGCGGTGAAAGAAGGGAATTAAGAGGCGCGAGATCTGTTATTAATTTTCGTCGCTTTGACAATGAGCCCTGAGGCCAAAGGGATGCAGCGACACGCATGCGTCGTAACATTTCACGCGCGTGCTCCTTCGCTCACCCTTCGCCAATTATCACGAAGGGTCTAGGCTACGTTTAAAGCGAGGCAACGACGTTAGGCTGAAACAATTAGAGGTAACCGCATTAGCATTACTTGTACGTAAACTTTGCATCGCGTTCTCCAGCGTGGATGTCGCAGTGTTGAGTTAAAGGCCGTAGCAATTACGTTTTCAAGGGGAGGATGGATCACCTTGCATATCTTCACGAATGGTGGCATCTCTCCATTTGAAGTAATCGTTCGACTCTCTCGCTACTAGCCAAAAGTACGCGTGTTAACCTTTAAACGCTGTTTCAGCTGTGTACCATCTTGGTAATTCTGTAGCTAATTACTTTGAGAAAAATCTTATAAATAAAAGGAGTTGAACGGTAATTTAAGAATAAAGATATCATGACTTTGTTTAAAGATGAAAGATCAATCCAAGTAGCGGTGAAAATTTGTAATTTGGAAATTTAGATCTGAATTTATCGCTTCGCAAATTCTTCGTAGAGATAAAATTATTGTCTTTTGTAATAATTAACAATGTCTTTCATTTTACAAGCTTGCGAATATTCAATATTATCTTTATAGAAAATGGAATCTCTTATGTTAGAGAATTCTAGATGTCCCTCTTTAATTTTCTTTAATGTCCAACTAGGAGCAGCATCTATTCGAACTTTGCGTTTCATTGTTTGTTAAAAGTTCATAATAAATGGAAACAATTTGAATGAGAATAATTGCTATGTCTCAAGAAAGAAAAGAATGTCTACGTACCATTCGTGATCGTTTCGTTTGTTGGCCTGGTCCAATAAGTGATAGCCGTTGGATAAGCCTCGCTGTGACATTCCAGAACGAGTGTTTGACCCTCGTAAGCGCCAACTAACTGGTTTTCAATCCATACCATTGGTTGAACTGCGAGAAAAATTCCTGGTATGTCGTATATTTCTTTGCGATAGGTAGAACGAAAATTGTACTTTAATTATCTCATTCGTTTGCAGACACATGATAGGTTGAATTTCTATATTTATATAAGAATTTCTATATTTATTTTTACAGGGATTCCCAACTAGTACCAAGTATTATTCGATGCTTTTAGAGCAAAGAAAATCACAAAGAATAACTATAAATTCGTAAAAATTTGATTCTACTGAATAAATTATTAACGAATGCAAGTCCTTTGTGCTAGTCTTTTCTTCGAGCATTTAAACCCAGAAATTATTTTTCTAAAGGCTAGAAAGCATAGAACCGTTTTCCCGAACAACAGGTTTTATTTTATACTTTTATTTTAAAAGCAAACTCAATCATCTGCGATTCCTCTGTGTTACTTACACCGTACATCACTTTCGTAGCACATAGTAAACATTTCGTATATTAAAATTCACGGACCATTGTTCTGGAAGTAATACTTCGTGAAACCGAGAGCTTAGCGATGTTTGTTTTTCGAATCTTCTGATTCCTTTTTATAGAGGTTCCGCAGACACCAAGGGAAATTCGAACAACCGCAATTTTCTTATACTCCTCGTTTAGCTATCCACGCTGTGTACCTTCTCCATATCAATTTCCATTCATCGAATTTCTCTTTGTACCGACTAATGAATTCCATGGTGTACAAGATTCCTAATTATTAGACGACAAGCGAAGGTTTTCAATATCTCGTGCACACGTAGATCCACAATGAAATCCCAGATAAATTTGAATAACAATTGATATATTCAAAATCTATGAATTGATATATCTACCCAGTGGTACGAGTAAAATTAATCCCCTTACACGATGTACGTATTAATAAGAGTGGCAAAAGAAGGAGTCTAGATACAACGAAAAATTGGCGCGAGTGGACGAATTTACTAGCTATCCATTCGTCAGATGAAATTTTTTTCCAGCTCAAAGCCCGCATTTCAAGGGTCCTTATTTTAATCAATCCGTAAGTTGTCGACAGGTCGGTTCGTGACAGGCAGAGGTTCGCCGCCGGCAGAAAATATTTAAGGCGTTACTTCAGCCCTGGAAACAATGGCCTCCTGCATCTGCCATTCACGGTCTCCCAAGTGGCGTCATTATGGTACCGCTCTCCCGACAGATCCACGGCCACGTAGCGAGACCTTAAATTGCATTTTCCAGCATACGTGCATAATGCATTGTTAGCGCTTTCGGTTGTTTGCCTTTGTGCCACGTACGTGATCCATTAGCCGCTTTTCAGGTAGAAGGGTTTTCGATTTACAAACGATTAAATTGTCCTTCCTACTTATGTACAGCGAGTAGTACTGTTCTTTCAGTTTTCCTCGACCTTTAAATGCTCTTATCGGACCATGATTTTCGGAATGTTCATCGTGTTATTCTTAAATAAATGCGAGATTATATCGTTCGTGATTATACAGTAAAGCGTGCAGTATTAGAATTTAGAATTATAAGTTAGTATTCATCGTCGGTATTACGTGTGATCAGTGGTTACTAACCCTTTCGCTACGGCGGGTGCCGCCACGAAGTCTCTCCCGTGGAACGAAGCCACGTTTCAAAGATGGAAACATTACGATCGTACAGTCTTTAGCATTCGGTCCTTTAACGCAAATTTTTTGAAGAGAAAGGGAAAATAAAAAATTGACCATCGTAATAGAGCTTGCAATTCTTTGCGAAGAGAGCTAAGAGGAACGGTAGCACTTGTCTTAATTTTTGACTCGATTTTTGTTGCCGGTGACTATAGTCGCCCGTAGTAGCGAAAGGATTAAAATTGCCTGTCATACGTTTGGTTTCGAGATATTAAAAGTTTCACTGTCGTATCTCTATACTGGTATCAGTTAATTTGTTTACCCCGATTCACCCCTCGAAATGTGAGCCACTGTTCAATTGAAATTTCTTTTTTCCCGAGTTGACAAACATCGAATTGCAGGGGATTATACAGAATATAGTCCACAAACGATGAACACATTCGCTGCTCTAAACGTATTCGAGATACCTACAGTAAACGTTGAGGACGATCCGCTTGCTGACTGCTGGCGGCACCCCGTTCGACGCTATGCACAGATATGGCCCCATGTGGGCACGCGTGACACGCGTTAGTTTCAACACCGAGCCTTGGACTGCTGTAACAAAACGTAGAAATGTAGAGCGTCGCGTGTTCCGTTTATTGGCCGTACCATGAGCGGCTGGTGGGATCGTTTAAAACTGCGATACTTCGGGAAAAAATCGCTATCGCGCTCGTCCAGCTTTGCAAACCTCGAATAGTGGTCGGTGAATAAACCAATCGAATTGAAACTCAAAGCATTGAGCAGTTGATCTCGCATAGGCGCTTTCGCTGAATACGTGTTGGGTCTTTTATTTATGCGTTTAGCCTTGACGAAAGGTGATTGTCGAATATTGTGTCTATAACTGATTTATGTCGGCAACATAAAGAATTCGTCGAATACATTTCAGTCTTGCTGCGAATCTTGCCAATTTTTCGTGTCACAATTGCATTGCTCTCATTGTTAGGTGCGTATAGCTTCTCGGGTCATATAGTTCTATAGAAACGAGAATTTGGCGTGGATGTTTATGGCGAGAGACTGAGTTTCGAGCATTAGAAATGCGAGGGAGGACCAGGTAAGTGCTTGAGACTAGGGTGCGAAAGAAGAGTACGTGGCCACACAAGGTTTTGGGTGAACGTAACCGTATGTGCTCTGGATACGTCTGTATGGGATGTCTGGATCGAGTGAAAGAGGTTGTAAAATAGAGAAAAGAGAATATACGGCTGCAAATATATAGAGTGGATGTGTTGGAGTTGAGAGTCTTCTGCGAAGTTCTATTGAGTTTTATTTTTGAGAATCACTCTGATATACATATATAACATATTTTACACGAATTCACGTGCGGAATCATACTTGATATAAGTTAGCAAGGAATAGTTAACGATCAGCCTTGCTAATACGATTTTTAATTTTACGAGTGATTTTTACTGTTACTCTATATTAACGATTGTTTCTGAAAATACTAATATTAACGAATTTATTAAAATTTCTTTTTAATGGATATTAATGGATATTATTTATAATGTAGAAATATCGTTGGAAAAAATTATTTTTGATAATTCTTATATTTACTGATTTTAATGGAATTTTTGAAAAATACTCAGAATATTCGAATCTTTTGGAAGTGTAGAAAGAAATAGATTTAGAGCAATGAATTCTTGAGATATAATTCTTTATGTCAAAAAATAGTAGATTTAATATCATATATATGATTCGAATATAGGATGCTCGTTTATTTCTACTGAAAAATTCGTCGACGTGCTTATGAAATCTTAAGCTATCTTTTTTAGCCCATACTGCATAGACGGAACGTTATTAAGAAATAGATTTCTTAATAACGGTGGATTCCGTTCCTGAACTAATTATGAACTTAAGGAAGCTACGAAATTATTATATCGGACAAAACAGTTCCCTGCTATTAGCTATTTCGTTCATGAAATAATGAAAATCGCAACTTTAATAACTTTCTTCTCTCGAAAATTAAGCTTCGTACATCCGTGTCTATAAAGAAGCTTATATGCATAGTCGGATATTCTAATCGATTTTTACTAGTAATATGTACAAGTCATCAAGTCATATCAAGCTTATAACATTCTAGTATGAAATACTATTATTAAAAATTTGCAATTTCTGAATGGGAATTAAAAATTTTTCGACGTCTTCTGTATTTTTGAACATTACTAAAGGGTTGAATCAGGTTATAGCTGTTGGTACATTTATTTGCGATTTTATGGTGAAATTGCATTTTGTCGGGAATAAGCAGATGTCTGAACGCTTTTAAGGGACACTGTTATAGCATTTTAATATAAAATATTATTAATAAGAATTTACGATTTTTAAATCGGAATTAAAAATTCTTCAACATCTTGTATATTTCTGGACATTACTACAGGGATGAATCAGGATATTAGCTGTTGGTCCTTTTATTTGCGATTTTATGGTGAAATTGCATCTTGTCGGGAATAAGCAGGCATCTGAACGCTTTTAAGGGGCACTGTGCATTGTTAAAAAGTTTGTAGCTGTTTGCGTAATCGATGCCTATGTTTACGAGTAATAACGTGGTCTGACCTAGGCTGGCGAACGTTAAATATGATTATGACCGAAATGGTTGTAATCTAGTGGAAAATATTCGAACCACGAGGAGTCGGAGCACGATACGCCGGATACCAGTGGCTGAACGTTGCGGAGCAAAAACGGAAAATCTGCTTAAGAGATTTAATTAGATCGCTTGAAAGGGCACGTAAGTGATGTAACCACGTTTAAGGAAACCTCCTCTGTGGCCTGTGAAATTTCGAGAACCAGCGATTTATTAAAACAGCGAGTGGAGTGGCAGAAACCATGAAAGGAGATGCTAATTTCCCGACGTTATAAACTTCAATTGCGAACGTAATTTGAGGATTTGAGGACATGTCATTGAGGATTTGTTAGATGCAAGTTCCTTGATGCGAACGAAAACTTTTCTATAGTACGACTAAATATTTCTTATAGTGAATGCTTCTCAGATATTAATAACCAATTTTGATGTAATTTATGGAAGATGTAGTTTTCCAGAAAATATATCACCTGTATTTCTTTTATCGGCAATAGTACATATCACGCATATTTTTCATACTATTTTGGGAATCATTCGATATGGTAAAAAGTGCATACGAAAGTCATTAATTTTTGAGGACAAATTATTTTGCGTAAGGTATTTTTCGGTGGATGGCATTCTGAAATCCTTTATAAGTTAATTTCTATAAGTGGAATTATCGAAATGCTCGAATTGAAAAATTTCGAATGAAATTTGAATTTTACATCAGGTTTTTCATTTTAAATTTTGTTATAATAAATGCACGTATAGGTAGAAATTATATTATCACTAGAGGTCTCCAAATTGTTTTTAACGAAAAAAGTAGGGAAACGCATTTGAAATAACCACAAACTTTCTACGAAGACATGCGATGAACAGGCAAATTCATAAGTTGAGATAACTATTAAGAAGCTAAATAAAGTCGTTTGCAGTTCCAGAGTTTCATTGCAGAAGTTTAACGATTCGAAGAAAATTTGATGCACTCGAAATAAAAAATTTTCTAGGAGGCAGACAATATCTTAAGAGAAATATAATTTAAAAGTTTTTTTTTTATGAAGAAACTTTCCCCAAGCTTATGGCTTCTGCCGTTGAATTTTTTAAAAATTAGATTAGAAAATTTAGGATGTCATTCTAGAGAATTTTCTGCTCGTTTAAATTTAATCTTTATATGAAGAACTTTAGATGAATCCAATTTCTCAAATGGAATTTATAGAACTACTTTATTCGCCAGTTGGTCATTCGAATTTTTTCTTTTAGTGTACTTCACTGTCCCTCGATATATCGATAGTCATTTTTTAAACTGGAATTCAAACTGAGTAAATAGCATCGTGTTTGTTGTGCCATCAAAGCTGAACAATTTTTTCAAATTTCGACGTTACAAGCCTCGAATATGTGGCACACATGAGTCGAATTTGATTCTAGCATACGCCATTGTCGATTTACCGATAATGTGTTAATTACATAAATGTTATTACATTTCACCACTGTAAGCACTTTTCCACGTGCTTGCAGCGGCATTTGATGGATAACTGTAACTCGATATAAAGGGATTAATTAGGTTGGATATCAAAATTATTTCAAACAGCCTAGAGTCCAAAGTACATTCTATAATACGTTTCGCATAATATTATTAAAAGTTTCTAAATTTTGTTTCGTAAAAGGTACGGAGTAATTTTGCAAAATTAGTAAGTCCAATGACATCAAAGATTCTTAACTTTCATTTTCTACAAATTTCTAATTACCGATTATCACCTATCCATTTCTAATTGCCAACTTTCAACTTTCCACTTGCACCATTCTACTGTCAATGTCCAAAGTAACTATAAGAAGGACGATAATGACGAGAACTTTCTACAACTTGCTGCACAACACTTGGTCGTCAGGGCAAGGGATGCTATCAGGAAACTAAGTCCACATCCAAGAGAAAGCGTTCTAGTAATTGGGTTCATTGAAATCGTTCTTGGAGAAAGGGTGATAAAAAAGCACATCCCTTTAAACACCTGTTGAGAAGAGCGTTTAGTCCGTCGAAATTCATTCCACGTGTCGAGCTATACGTCCTTGGGTAATTACGAGAGCACCGCTTCTAACTGTTCTGAAATTACCGGTGGGGAAGCTTCGCCGTGAAAAAGGCTGCTTTTCACCTACCATCGCCGTCACAAGCTCGTTCTTACGTGTCGGCTGCAAAACGGCGAACGTCGAAATGGGTGTCGCACAGTAGCAGGTGGAAAGGTTAGGGCGGAGGGATAGTAAGAAAAGGAGAAATGGTGTACACGACCGATGGAATATTTTATTTTCCCTCTACTTATCGTCTAATGGAATCGAACCACTCTTCGTCGGGAAGCGACAGCTGTCGAAGAGGAAGCGAATGAGCAGAATAAAAGAAGGCATCGGGGACAAATGCTTAAAACGATTCTTTAAAACCAGCCGCGAATGATAAAAGGTTCATCCGGTGAATAAATCACTGGAATTTCACCCATATCTACCGGCCACACCGAGGAAACCCTTTCTCACTCGCCTGGCGACCGTCTCTCATATCGAGAGCTTAGACCCGATACATTCTGTTGGAGCAGCTATTGTGGTCGAGATCTCGAGAGGAGCTTCGATTTTTGAGAATTCTGCGGGGAGTTAGAAGTTGGGTAGCTTCGATTTAACGTCGAATATGCTCGAGGTAAACGCAAACACGTGAATAGGAGCTGTGTAACCTGTTTAGGCTTGCAAGATTTAACTTCAACGAGGCAAATGGATTAATTTGAAACGGTATGTCTGAAAGAGCTAACAGGATTGGTAATGCGTACAATTATTCGATGTGTCGATCACATTGGCTGGTGTCATATGTTCCTTATTAACACAGAACTATTTATGATTAATCACGAGGAACGTAATTTCAGTGTATGAATTTTTGTACCTAAAACTGACTATTAAAGTCACTTTGTAGATTTATCGTGCATATAACTTTTTCGTTTATTATCGTAACTTAATAGGACGCAATTATTTCAAGAAAATTTTGTGTACGATGGAATGTTTGGAATATCAGAGAGGTAGCTGCCAAGAGAAGCAACTATCCAAACGTAACCGACCGATTTGTCAAACCAACCCAAGGAAAGCGCACTTATTTCGCTGAAGGAAAGGAGAGACAGTTTCGGGTTAAGCTTTTGCTGGTTTGAGAAAAGCAGAAACGAATCTGTAGGATTCCAGTTCTTGCAGACTCTTGCAGTTTTCGATCCTCGCCGTGTGCTCGTGGCTGTCAGTCCCTTTGAAAAAATCACCCAAGCCTTTCATACCTTCCCGACTCGTTTGCTAAGTAAGAGTCCAGAATTGAGGGTCTTAATTACCGGGAACCTTGATCATTTATCTGGCTAAAGTGGCTGAAAAATTGTCACCCCGCTGGCCCGAGAAAAGGAACCGCAAGCACCTCGCAATTGTCAACGGTCCCAGTATTAACTCTAAGCTCGAGACTGAAAAGGACCAGGAGAGCAGGGAAAGATGGAGAAGCGAGAAAAGGGCGATAGAAAGAGACACGGTACGAGTTAGACTAACCCTTTTGCTTACGCACCTGCACACCGTACAATTCGAAACGTCCCCTACACTTCCGTGTGCAATTAGTCACGGAACGGGTTGAACAGTCGCGCATTGAGGCACCTCAAGGGAGCAGTGGGGTGGACCAGGGGATCAGAGAAATGGCATATCGAGCAAAGAGACGGGACGAAGAAGAGGCAACTGAGTAATTCGAACAAGGGGCCAGGAATGGTAATTAAGGGGCAAAAGAATGGACAAAACGACTGTGGGATGCTTTGACAGCTTTAAAACTGAAACGCTCTTCACGTCGATTCCACCTGGCCAGAAATAGATAAGGAATCCGTGGTCACCGACCAGTATCGATTTCCGAATTCACGGTTAGATCGGTCGTTCTGCCAGCTCCTACCACAATTCAGGTTGCCCTGTTCAGACCGGTTCATTTATGTACTCGAAGTATCGACGCATTAATTGGGCATCTAGGTAACGATGCTTAATTGGCGGACTCGCTTTTGGACAGGAAATTAATACGTCCACGATTCAGCGAAGACTCGGAAGCTGGAGAACAAGAGGGATAGTCTTCGAACTCAAGGAAGATGGTCATTGAGCAACAATTGCTATTCTAACGCTCTATCTAATCGTCGGACAATTTGCGTGCGTCTGGTTCGTTCCCGTTGGTTATTTTCGTGACTTATTCCCTCGTAAATTAGAGTTCTCTGGAAGTTGGGTAACTGTAGGTGATTGATGCTTGCGCGTGATAGGATTGAAGAGTATCGAGTGGATAATATTTAATTGACCTGCAGTTGGATGTACTGCGAGGCTTGCGAATAATGTATCAGATATTTCGAAAACGGTGGATATCGTTTTTGAATAATGTTGTTTCCGTTACATTTGCGTTCATGACAGCGAAGTCGATGACCGAAAACACATTGAGTAATAACACTCGACATCTATAAATATATTACTACACCACGTCAATCAGTTACAACGCATGAACTGCGAATGGAGTTTACGATCAATGCTCAACGGGATTCACCCCTAGCAATACGCCAAATGCAAATAATTTCAGTTGCGCTTAATAGTAATAAACATCGAATGGAACCTTGGAAAACGACGTTTGGATGAAAAAGCGGAAAAAAATATCGTGACCAATGGGGTGAGATTAAGGGAAACAAATTATTTTTACTTTTCTATCATTTGCAGTGGTCAGAGATTTTTTCCATGTGCATCTATATTTATTTACATAGGTGCTCCAGTTTGACTTTAAATAGCCATAGCAAGTTTTCTAGTACTTTCGTTTATCAAGCACGGTTGCAAATAAAAGATCAGTGTTCAATTAGGAACAAGAGCATCAGCTTCGAAATAAAAATAGCTGAAATCACCGAATAAGTTAATGACACATAATTGACATTCATCATAAAACAATTTTTAAAATATATAAGGATAAATAAATGTGCAAGTAATAGATAGATGCGAAGAACTGTCATAATTTCTGCAACATGTAACACGGGTTATAATTTTGAATACTACACTGTTCATTAAATTGTATTAATTCCATTAAGAACAAGAGCATCAGCTTCGAAATAAAAATAGCTGAAATCACCGAATAAGTTAATGACATATAACTGACATTCAGTATCATAAAACGATTTTTAAAATATATAAAGATAAATAAATGTGCAAGTAAATATGAAGAATTATCATAATTTCCTAAAGTAATATGGAACGCAGACTTGGGTACTACACTGTTCATCAAATTGTATTAATTCGCGTACTAAATTTGGAAACACACAATGTTCTGCTGATACGTAGTTCTAATTTCATTCATTTCGTCGAATATTTTAACCAGTTGCATGCATTTTGCAGAAGTAATCGAATGAAGTTTTATTTCTACTGACCTGATTAAAAGTGTACCAAATTACATCTCAAATTACATTTCGACGTAATTTAATTATGTTTTCCCGCGCATATTAATTACCTTTGAATTGGGACCATTTGTTGAATTTCATTAAAACGAAATCGCTCGACTGATGAAACAAATTTCCGTGTTTATTGTATTTCACAGGAATAAAGCTGTCTTCCATTTTGAACGTCTAAGCGATGCTTCGAAGCGTCTAATTGTTTACGTACCTACATGTTTTACCTTCTTGCTCTGACGTTAAGATTCTTTTGTAATGCATTTGAACGAGGAACTCTCAAGCGTGATATAGTCTCGAGGTATGATATCTATTATCACGGTTAGAAATGGAGCTCTATATCTCCTAACCAATACTTGGACAAAATTTAACTCTTTGGCAGAGTTCATCGTGTATACAAACACTGAGATTCCGACTCGGGATCTACAAACACTCGAACTTTTAGAACCATAGAAATCAATTTCGACACATTTCCGAGTATTCGAAAATGTGGAATAATAAAAGTCGTTGCGAATCCAAAGCAATTTTGATCAGTAGCACTTCGTTTGATCCACCAACCATGGTCCATTCGCACTAGCAAAAGAAAATCATTCGCTCTAACTCGCATAGGAATCAGTTTCAACCAGACAGCCTCGTGAGCGAGCGAGGTCCTCTAAGAAACGAGCATAGGGGACGATCTGATCCAGCTGGCGTGGCTGTCAAAACCCAGCCGCCGCTGGTCTATCCAGTAATAAAGATCTCGTGCAATCAGAGAAGCGAATGAGAGACGGTTGAACGGGTCGTGTGTCTATCCCAGCTTTACTCGCCGGCGAAAAGGCTGGCAGAAGTATGTTCACCGGGTCGAGGAAAGTGGCAATATACACGGAACGGGGCGAGAACGATAGTTAGGTAACAATGGCAGCAGACAGAGGGAGTAAGTCTAAATGGACCAAGGTGGGCCGATACGTGGGATGGGACGCGGTCGTGTCTGAGCGAAATAGAAGCTTCGAAGAGGTGGTAAATAAAATATCGCGGAGAGTGACACGGATGATCCGTGGACTACGTACCTTCGTGTGAGTTGGACAGGCCGATCGGACCTCCAACTTCGCGGCGCCACGTGACAGTAGGCTTCGGGGTACCGGTCGCAGCGCATCGCAATGTCACATTGCTCCCCTCTCTCACCTCCATGTCCGTGCTGGTGGAGTCGTCCAGGATATCCGGTGGTACTGAAACAATGACCACATTGTAACGATACTATCCCGCCTCCCTCGTGTACCCAGCGTACACCGGCACGCACGAACGCAACGCCATTCGCTTGGATAGATGGCTATCGGGCCGACATCGGCACCGATCTACCGATGTCTCGTTGTGTATTCGCAAATATTCTGCGTCAGCGACGCCACTGGTCCGGGGGTGGTACGCTGGTCCTGGCCATCAGCCTCGCCCCCGGTGACCGGCGTACGACAATCCGATCGTAAAACCGGGAATCGCTCGGCTGATCGTGAATACAGCCGAACGACGCTACTCACGTCGCGACGTCCGTCGCTCACCGGTCCACGTCCGTATTGCGTGACCACGCGTTTAAGGTGCTCTCGATCACTTGGAACCCCGCGTGAAATTCCACCCTCGTGGTACGGTGTTCGAAATTACGCAAATGGCGGATGATGTTTTGCGGCTTTTTCTTTCGTCAGATTTAGCTTTGTGTGGTATTGAATGGAACTTTGATGTTGAATGTTTTGTTTGCCGGATACGGTGCGTGCATTGTTATGCGGGCTTTGCAGGCCAACGCTTGTGGTAGAGGATTTGGCTGAAACTTTATTACTATTTTTTTTCTTTTTTTCTTTTTTTCTTTTTTTGGTAACGAGAGTATTTTTTCCCCTTTTTTCTTTTCTCTTTTCGTCTGGTAAAAGCGAATGCGAATGTTTTTCCTTTCTCGTTAGGTTTATCGTTACTTCCGTGTCGATTAAATTTCGGAATTTGTAGAACAGGACGAATTTATTTATGCTCCCGAAGAGGTCGCGAAGGTTGCTCGTGAATCGTAACTATCGAATTGTATTTCTAGTAAATTTTACTGTAGACGAGTGGTAGAGATAGAATATACAAAATGGGGGTGTACGAGGTTAGATGTGAAGTCGTATTTCCTTTTTCATCGGCAGTATTTACCTTTCATTCGTAATTCATCGACGTTATTTTTGGTAAATGAAATAGTTAAGCAGGTACGTTATATATGTTTTTCAAGACCTACGTTAATTATGTATTTTTTATCCTCCCTGATGAGTACTCTAAGCCACTAAAGTCGTAGGCTTCTCCTTGTTAATATCCTGATTAAGTTCAAATTATAATTGCTTTTTATAATCCCTTCATTAAAACTCGTTGAGAGTCAGTAATTTAAGGAAAAAGATAAGACGCTTTCAAGAGCACCAGATATACTGCATTTTATAAAATTTGTGAAATGAACAGTTATAGGGTATTACCAGTCGTCATTTGCTTTAATACGGGAAACGTTGATTATACTCGTTTTATTAAAAATAAATCCGCATGAAATCTTAAAATGGAATATTTCTATTCATTAAGAAAAGATAAAATATACTTTTACGTACTAAAATAGTAAAATACATTGCTAATTAAAACAATAGTACATTTTTAAGTAGACATCCAAATTCTTCTTGTAATATTACATGTATTCCTTTGTAAATAAGACTATTCTATGATCCTTTTCTTCCAGTGCAGATGCTCGATAATATAATCATCCATTAACTTTGATACAATATTTTACTCATCGAAAAGGAATATTTTGCACATTTTAAAAATTTTGATCGATCCAATTATATTTATATCTGATATTAAAATAACTCATATTATACGTTCAGAGGAAGATTCTCGTATATATTAAAACGTCTTGAAGACCATTAATCAAGTAAGGTAATAAATTCGTTGAAAATGAAATAAGTTTCGCGATATTTAATGTGATCTGGAATTTCATGGGACTAAATTGCTCGAAAATTTCCAAGGGAAAGAATCGAATGGCCATTATCGCAGCCCCGGTGTCTCGATTTCCTTTTTCCCTTGACGCGAGCGGGGTGTAGGGGCCGCGGCAGGCTTTTGTTTCATGCCATTGATTCGCGATAATTGGCCACGCTCCGGTACTTTAATCGTCATTTCAATCGTAGAGGGGAAAGTGTTTTGTTTCGCACGCGCTGGAAATTAAATGGCATATCGTGGAGCACGATGATAACCACGCTCTTCAATTTACTGGAGGTTATAATTTCAATTTAAACGGGTAAGGCGGGAAATTTTATCGATTTAAATAGTGCCTGCAATTTCACTTTTTAATCCTGACATTTAGAGCTGATGGATTTATTCCTAGTCTCGTTTACTGAAATTTCCATGAAAATACGAATGTTTGTCACTTTTAAAAATTATGGATGGCAAATATCGATACCGAATATAATTTTAATGACAAAAGTTTAGTATACATCGTTGATCATGAAGGTGGAGTTAGTCGCGTATGTTTCTTTCCAAAGTAATAAATTTTCGTGCTTTAAATATTATATGTTATAAATTAAAAGAATTATTTTCTACTAGAAAACAAACTTAGTTTGACAATTCAATTTTTTGTTTATTGTGCCAAAGATATTCGCAGTTTATCGTAATATAAATAAATGCAATGCGAAGTAAATAATTGATTCGTTTCTTTAAAATTTTTGCCAATAAACGTAATAAAAGTCAGAAATATAGGAATATGATATGTAGCTTCTATAGTAAACGATTCATTTTGTTAACCAAAAATTGTTGGCGAGACGTTATAAATCAAAACTAATATTTGATGTGGACGTTATTGCACGCTAACTGCCATTTAGTAAAACATGAAACAAGTTTCTTTTGATATTTTTCGCAAATTTTTCGTTCGATGCCAATTGAAATGTTACCTCTGTGTAAATAAAATATATTTCTATTTTTAACCTTTTTTACAATTTTGTGTTTATTTATACAGTGATGTCTATTCGTGCATGCAGTATGCATCCTCCACACGTGTGCAGTGAAACAATCATATTGAATATTATAAAAAGTATTGCTTCAATATTAAAAATTTATTTTAAAACATTCGTATAAGTGTATATAATTATTTAAATTAAGAATACATAAAAATTAAATATTTCCCCTTAAACATATAAACATTTAAATATATGTCGAATAAAGTTACTTTTTGAAGGTTTTCCTTTAACGCGGCAGAAAAATTAGGAATATTTCGTGTAAAATAAATATTTAATGAAATTAAACGAGTATTAACTTATCACGTGCGGGATAGTATCATTAATTATTTTATCAGTTTAGTTTTATCATTTTATACTCTTATGCAATGAATTGCAAGGTCTGTCGTTTCTGAAAAGTAATGTAAATTTTGGAAAAAATTAAAATCCAATATTTGCCGACTCACGGATCGGTGAGCAATGTAATTATACTTTTATACAACTGCGAGTGTTTTCAAATATTCAGTTCCAATAAAAGCATATAAAACTACTAAAATATGAGCTAATAAATTCTTAAACCTTTGAAATTTTAAAGTCCCTAAAAGTATCGGAAATCTTTATATAGCTTATAGAAATTTAACGATTCGAAGGAAGTTCAAAGAGAGTTTTGTTTAATATAAAAATTCAAATGCCAAAAATTTGAAATATCAAGTTGAACGACCTTTGACATTTACGTCCTGCTAAATTGGAATGGTGATGAAAAGGTATCTAATATTTTGAATGAAATGGAAGTACCGCATATTGCCTCACATGAATTCTGTTCGCGATTCAACATACTTTGGAAATTTGTGACTGGAATATTTGCTTAATACGATCATATCGTTACCACGGCTGTAATTAAGTACCTTTGTATTTTTCTATCAGTTGCCCAGTAGAGAATGAAATAGGTAATAAAAACGTTATTCCAGGAAGGAAGACTGGGTTATATCTTTTAAACTTCAGAATCTCGATTTTAAAGTTTTTACTTCATTTACCCCTTTGACTACGGCGAAATGTGTCATAATCCAAAAGCTTTTGAAGAGCATATTAGAAATTAGCTTTTAACGATCCTTACTTGACAAACGATTCGAAATCTGCGGTGAACTTTTGCGCAGACACACAGATGGTATTGCAATTATGGTACTTCTTGAAAAAAGTGCGCAGAGTGTGCAATGGAAAAGAGACTACAGCTTTTAAAGTTAATGGTCTATTAATTAAACAGGAAGATAAATGTTTGATATAAATGTAGAATTAATTATCAAACTGTTTGTTAATAAATAAGGAAGTAATCGTGATATCTCAAATTGAAAGTTCCTGAAATTTTGATTCCATTCATATAATTATTTTTCATAAATAATACTAAAAATTCTCATAAATAATTTCCACAAATTTTTGCTGTGTGTTTCAAATGATCATCATGCTTGGGCACAAAATCCTGATCTATTGGTAGGTTTTTGGAGTAATTTCGGTGATTTCTCACGTCTTGTGTGAAAAATATTTAACCCTTTGCACTCGAGAGATGAGCTTCAGTCACCATTTCATAAAATTTGGAAGATCGATATTAATTAATATATCGAATTTAATGTAATAGCGTGCGAGGTATCGAAATCAAACAATTCTACAATTCTATTATTATGCAATTCTATATTTACTGCTCAAAAAGGTATCGTTAGTATATAAGTAAAGAATCTTCGAATTTACACTCCTCTGTAGCCAAAAAGTCGTCGAGTGCAAAGGGTTAATACATTTTTACACATCGAGAATAAAATGTCTAATAAGTATCCTAATATCCATGAATTGAGGTATATTTATTTCATCATTTTTTAAGAGTATCAAGCACATCGTGCATCAATTAAGACCCTCGAGTGTTCTCGGTGATGAGGAATTCTTGAAGCTCATCCTTGCACCTCCGCTAGAAATGCACCTCCCGGTGAGAAATATTCATAAGCCTTTATTAACCGTATCCTTATATGAAGATCGCCATCGCGGCTAGCACTTTCTAAGAAGCTTCCTATCCTGACCCGCCTGCGAGTTCCGGAAGACGTGTTCAGAAGGTAAAGTAGTTCGAGGACGAACTTTTCACAAGGACAGGTCTTTGAGTGTAACGCCAACTTTTCAACCAGCTCTCGCGCACTTGCGCAACTTGTTACCCTGATTAGAGTGATAGGCAGTAGAAAACGAGCAGATTCCACTGCCATATCGAGTATCAAATAATC